ATAACGTTCTTTACCTGGTCGTGTCTAGTAAATCTATAGTTATAACGTTGTTCACCTGGTTGTGTCTGTAAATCTATAGTTATAACGTTGTTCACCTGGTTGTGTCGGTAAATCTATAGTTATAACGTTGTTCACCTGATTGTGTCTGTAAATCTATAGATATAACGTTGTTCACCTGGTCGTGTCTGTAAATCTATAGATATAACGTTGTTTACCTGGTCGTGTATGTAAATCTATAGATATAACGTTGTTCACCTGGTTGTGTATATAAATCTATAGATATAACGTTGTTCACCTGGTTGTGTCTGTAAATCTATAGATATAACGTTGTTGACATTGTCGTGTATGTAAATCTATAGATATAACGTTGTTCACCTGGTTGTGTCTGTAAATCTATAGATATAACGTTGTTGACATTGTCTTGTATGTAAATCTATAGATATATAATTAAGCTGTATTTATATTACGTGTTAAATACGTACACATTAAAGGTAATTCTAAAGATGCGAAGTACATTTACGTTGTTAGACATTGTTATATATGTAATTAATTACGTGTATAGATTGTATTGAGTTACGGATCGTCTATGGTTATGTTACCTTACAGTATAATAGATGTATTACTTTATTTTGGCTTTCATTAGGTTCCTAGAAGCATATGAAGCGTACAACATTAGCTTCTGGGGGCTGACCACCGAGAATGAGCCTACCAACGGCCTTCAATATAACTTTTCATTCCAGTGCTTGGGCTTCACCCCCGAGTCTCAGCGTGACTTCATTAAGATGCACCTGGGGCCTTCCTTGGAGAACGCTGGATATGGACCCAAAAAAATTAAGATGATGATAATGGACGATCAGCGATTTTTACTTCCAAAGTGGGCAGATGTGGTAACTATAAAATTCTTCCTGTTGATTGTATTGTATATGGGATTCTAACGTCCACTTAAATTAGGCTTTGTTATACACATTTCATTTCTTCTGTACATCATATAGTACAAGTTACTCTCGTGCACAACTTCTCTCATCATATTAGGAACATTATCATTAAAATAGTGAATACTCTTAAATATAATCCGAAAATAAAATGTCTAGTTTAATAGATAGTGCATTAATATAGCGATAACATGTGTTTTTACCTAAAGCCAATAATAGATGGAGTTCTTCAATATTTATTGACGAATATTTTTGCACTCTTTTAGATATTACTTTCCATAATTTACGAAGACAGTTGCAGTGTAGCAGCTTGATCCATTGTTAGACGGTTATTGTAGCAGCTTGATCCATTGTTAGACGGTTATTGTAGCAGCTTGATCCATTGTTAGACGGCTATTGTAGCAGCCTGATCCATTGTTAGACGGCTATTGTAGCAGCTTGATCCATTGTTAGACGGCTATTGTAGCAGCTTGATCCATTGTTAGACGGTTATTGTAGCAGCTTGATCGATTGTTAGACGGCTATTGTAGCAGCTTGATCGATTGTTAGACGGCTATTGTAGCAGCTTGATCGATTGTTAGACGGCTATTGTAGCAGCTTGAACGATTGTTAGACGGCTATTGTAGCAACTTGATCGATTGTTAGACGGCTATTGTAGCAGCTTGATCCATTGTTAGACGGCTGTTGTAGTGCTTTAGCTAAAGCCATTGTTATATCACTATTCATGAATATATTTGTATTTCTTGCAGGTGTTAAGTGATCCAGAAGCAGCCAGATATGTAAGTGGTGTTGGCTTCCACTGGTACTGGAATGAGATTTCTCCACCAGAGCTCCTGGATATTACCCATAATTCATTCCCTGAGCAGTTTCTTCTGGCTACTGAAGCTTGTGAGGGATCATGGCCATGGGAACATGTGATTTTAGGGAGCTGGGAGAGAGCAGAAGGATATGCTCACGATATCTTGGAAGTGAGTATCAGTATAAGTTATGTGATATCACAGAGAAATATATACACTATTGAGAGTTAACGATGTTCAAGGCCCTATGTTGCTGTTGGGATTTCACTGATGATTTTGGTCGACCATGATTATAGAATACTGAAAGTTTGATTGTTATAAGATCCTGTATAGAATGTTAAGTCAACCATGAACCACAATATCTTGACAAACGTTTCACAGATTTTCCACTTTGCAAACCGTTCCATCACAAGAACAACAATACATCAGTGTTATTCTAGTGACAACACGACAATGAGCTGTACTATTATTCTAGTGATAACACGACAATGAGCTGTACTGTTACTCTAGTGATAACACGACAATGAGCTTTACTGTTATTCTAGTGACAACGCGACAATGAGCTGTACTGTTACTCTAGTGATAACACGACAATGAGCTTTACTGTTATTCTAGTGACAACGCGACAATGAGCTGTACTGTTATTCTAGTGAT